GCTACTCTTTGAAATGATTGTTGACCAGTTCTTTTTGGTACAGTGACTGTGTATTCCTTCCATCTTCTTTTGATGCTTCCTGCACCCTTCAATATTGTGTCCATTGTTGTTATTGTTAAGTGCTATCAAGTCAGTTCCACCTCATAGCGACCCTGTACAGGGTTTCCAAGGAGTGGCTGGTGGGTTTGAACTGCCGATTTTGCAGTTTAAACCAGCCTGATGGTCCAGTTCATTATCCTGCAGCGCCACAGCATAGAACCCTTCAATATTGCACTCAAGGCTTGACGTTTCCTTCAGTTCTTTCAGCTTAAGAAATGCTGAGCATGTTGCTCCCTTTTGGTTTCCTAACTCCAGGTCTTTGTACATGTCATTATAATATTTGACTTTGTCTTCTCAAACTGTCCTTGGAAATTTTCTGTTCATCTCTTTTGTGCCATCATTTCTTCCAGTTGTTTTGTTCTTGTTAAGTATCGTTGAGTGAATTCTGACTCATAGTGACCCTGTGTAGGGTTTCTAAGGAGCAGCTGATGGATTTGAACCACCGACCTTAGGGTTAGCAGTCTAGTGCTATTCTGCAGTACCACACCAGGAGTCCTCCAGTTGCTTTAGCATCTCTGTAATCAAGAGCAAGTTTCAGAGTCACTTCTGACATCCATTTTGGTCTTTCCTTGCTGTCTTTTTTCATGTATCTTGATGTAATTTCATAACTCGTCTGATTTCCAGTCATTTAGTGTTCAATGTGTCCAGTCTGTATTTAACACAGTCTCTAAATTCAGGTGGGATGCAATCAGCATTGCATGTTGGCTCTTGTGGACTTGTTTTAATTTTCTTTAGTTTCAACCTGAAATTGTGTCTGAGCAGTTGGTGGTCTGTTCCACAGTTGGCCCCTGGCCTTGTTTTTCGCTAATGATACTGAGTTTCTCCATTGTCTCTTTCCACAGATACAGTTGATTTGATTACTGTGTATTCCATCTGTGAGATTCACATGTATGCTTGCCATTTATGTTATTGAAAAAAAGATATTAACAATGAATAAATTGTTGGTCTTGCAAAATTCTATTATGCAATCTCCAGTATAATTTCTATTACCAAGGCCTTATTTTCCAACTACCAATCTTTCCTCTTTGATTCCAACTCTTTGCATTCCAGTAATTGTCAATGCTTCTTGACATGTTTGATCAGTTTCAGACTACAAAAGCTGGTGGTGGTGGTTATATGCCATGGAATCAGTTCCGACTCAGGGTTTCCGAGATTTGTAAATCTTTACGGAAGCAGAAAGCCTCATCTTTCTCCCGCAGAACATCTGGTAGTTTCGAACTGCTGACCTTGAGGTTCCGAGCCCGATCCATAACCACTATGCTACCAGAGCTCCTTGCACCAGCTAAACTAACTGTTATTCAAATGTATGCACCAACCACTAAAACCAGTGGTAAAGAAATGGTGTTAGTGGTTGGTGCATACATTTGAATAATAATTAGTTTAGCTCGTCTTTCTTGTTCCCATTTCTATCATGTCAGTTTCACAGGGCAGAGTAGAGCTGTTCTTAGTGCTTCAGAAACTGTCGATCTCTGCAGTAGCAGACTGAATTATACATTTAGAAATTGGTGAATTGGCATATGTTCTGCTATGTACAGTCTCAACACAAATAGGAACAATAAAATAAATGAAATATACAAAATAATAGTAATAAGGTAGATGTAAAAATGGAGTCCTGGTGTGGCGCTGCGGATTAATGCACTAGACTGCAAAATCAGTCTGAACCACAAGGTCAGTGGTTCAAGCTCACCAGCTGCTCCTTGGAAACCTACACAGGGCTGCTGTGAGCCGGAACTGACATATCGAAGTGGGCACTTAACAACAACAACAACAACAAACGTAGTGGTAAAGGAGCCCTGGTGATACAATGGATAAGCACTTGGCTACGAACAAGAAGGTTGACAATTCTAACCCACCTAGCAAATCTCAGGGAGGATTACCTGGCAATCTGTTTCTATAAAGATTGGTGTTGTCAAAGTGCTGGCGAGCCAGTTCCAGCTATATAGCAACCTTGTGTAGGGTTTCCAAGGAACAGTTAGTGAGTTTGAACCATCGACCTTGCAATTCAAACCGACCTTGAGGTCTAGTGCTTATCCTATGATGCCACACCAAGACTACTCTGTAAAGATTACAGCCAAGAAAACCCTATGGGGCAGTTCTACTCTGTATCCTGAGACTGTTGTGTGTTGGAACCAACTCGTTGGCACCCAAACAACCATATGTAATGGTGTAAAAGGATACTCACTGTCTGTTATGATATGAGAAAAGCAAGTTGCAGAACAACATGAATACTAGCATCCTGGAGCAAAGCCCTGGTGATATAGTGGGTTAAGCACTGGGCTGCTAACCACAAGATTTACTCTGCCCTGGCGTGGCACTGTGGGCTAATGCACCAGACTGAAAAGCTGTTTGAACTGCAAGGTTGGCAGTTCAAGCTCACCAGCTGCTCCTTGGAAACCATATACAAGATCGCTATGGGTCGGAACTGACTTGATGGCACTTAACAACAACAACATAGGATCATTCTAGTCTGCCCTATAGGGTCACAGTGGGGTTGGGATTAAAAAGGAAATAAAAGGTGTGTGTGTGTGTGTGTGGTGTGCCCACCACAAACTAGTTTTCACTTCAGGAGCCACTGCCTCTGCTGTCTGGTGCTGCTGTAACTGAAACACCACAGTGGATGTCTTTAACAAGCACACTTACTATTTGTCATTTTCTAGCCTTGCTCCCCTGCTTACAGGACTGCCTTTGACTTTCTCTAACACGGTTTCCACATTTATTCATCATCCTCAGAATTATAAGTGAATGGCTAATATTCCATATTGATATGGCATAATAGATTAAATTATTTTCTGAATGTTGGTCATTTTGAGTGTTTCAACATCTTCCATATAAATGATGTTGCAAAGAACATCTTCATGCGTGGAGCGCTTTGCTTTAATTGAATTTTAAGAATGAAATTATTAAGTCAAAAAGAATAATATAAATGTTTTTATGGGTCCTACTAAAGATTGCCAAATTGCTTCTCAAAGAGTTACTCTGATTTATAATACTACCAACACCAATAGAATGTATGAGCTTCAGTATAATCTTGCCAACATTGGCTCTTACTTATATTTTTCAGTGGCTATTTTAGTAGATTATAATGGTGCCTCAAAGCTGTTTTTCCTGTTTTTCTCCTTCCTAGCAAGGGTAGAATTTAGATTTTCAAAAGCCTTGCTCTTTCCTATCTACCCAACAACTCACAATGACCCTACTGGACAAAACAGAACTAACTGGACCCTAGGACTTCCGAAAGGAGCTCTGGTAGCATAGTGGTTATGAGTTAGGCTGCTAACCTCAAGTTCAGCAGTTCAAAACTACCAGCGGTTCCGCAGGAGAAACATGAAGCTTTCTGCTCTTGTAAAGATTTACGGTCTCAGAAACCCTGTACAGGGTCGTTATGAGTTAGAACCAACTCCACGGCACATAACCACTACCAGGGTTTCCTAAGCTATAAGCGCCAAAGAAACAGACTGCCACATGGTTCTCCCTTGAGATGGCTGATGGGTTTGCACTATTGACCTTTTGGTTAGCAGCCAAACACTTAATCACTGCACCACCAGGGTCCTCTAAAAGACCGTAGACAATAAGGATGAGGACGATGGCAAATCATAATTCCCTTTGTCTTTGTTGTTGTTACCTTGGAGTCGGTTCCGACTCATAGTGACCCGCACAAGGTTTCCAAGGCTGTAAATCTTTACGGGAGCAGACCGCCTCATCTTTCTCCCGTGGAACCGCTGGTAGTTTCAAACTGCTGACCTTGAGGTTAGCAGCCCGATTCATAACCACTACGCTACCAGAGCTCCTTAGGGCACTTTATAATTTACAGACCTTTACAACCATCATCTCATTTTATTCTGAAAAGTATGAGGGGGGCCTCCGAAAGTTCAGGGAGAAATTCCATTATATTTTCATTTCATTTTCCATGAACTTTTTGAAATCCCCTCATATGTCTCGCTTAAGTAACAGAAGCCCACCAAGGCTGGTATAAATAATTGAGGGACTTATTCAAGAATTAGGAGGCCTTGGCTGGCACAAACTGTTAAATACTCAGCTATAAATCAAAAGGTTGGCTGTTCGAATTTACCTAGAAGCACCAAGAAGAAAGGCTTGGAGCTCTACTTCTGAAAAATCAGCCATTGAAAACCTTGTGAACCAGCTCTACTCTGACACACATGGTGTTGTCTTGAGTCCGAGTCAGCTTGAGGGTAACTGGTACCGGTATTCAAGAATTGCAAAGAAATAGCTCAGCTTCTCTCTCTAGGGCAATGATCTCTTTTCTGCTTCTCTCTGCATGTCTGTTCCATCCTCCCCTCTGCAGATCATCTTTATCTGCTGCTTTATCAGTGTCAACAAGTCTGGAAAAGCAGCTGCAGCCAGGCTCTGCCCAGGCTTCCAGTTCTGATCATGTCGCTGCCTCTTAGCTCACCATCTCTCACGGAATACTCAGGAGCTCCCAGCCTCCCAGAACTGTCCCTTCTGCTCAGGCATCCATCCTGGGTCAGGGAGAGGAGCAGGAGCATGGTCACATGATACAAACAGGGGTGTTGGGGCTGACAAGTAGAAGGAAGGCAGATTCTCTTAGAGGTGTGCAAAGGGGAAGCAAAGATAGTCTTATTAACATAGCATGGTGGTTAGCATCCATGGTGCCTGGTTTTCCATGCCAATAACAGTATGCTAATAACAATGATTCCTTAGGTTTGCAGAGACTTCTCAGAGAAGACCCTCCTAAGAGAGAGGAGACTGTCTCTTCCCTCTCCAGTCATACCTGGAACGTCCTATCGTGCCTGCCCTCCCCCAAACCACAGTCACAGTTCTGCCCCCGTGTTCTGAGCCAGGCAACACCTCTCAAGGCGGACCTCAGAGGGCCCCAGGGTGGAGAGAGAGGGCCCTGCCCAGCCAGACTGGCCTCTGTCCTGCAGGTGCGGATCTGGGAGATCCCCGAGGGAGGGCTGAAGCGGAACATGACAGAGGCACTCCTACAACTGCATGGGCACAGCCGGCGTGTGGGGCTGGTCGAGTGGCACCCCACCACCAACAACATCCTCTTCAGTGCTGGCTATGACTACAAGGTACACAGCCCCGGCAGGCAACGTGGACTGAGCCAACTCAGGGAGGAGGGAAACACAGGGTTACTTTGGAGGGACTGTAGGCAGCATGTTAACCAATATTGTTTCATTGATTCATTTGTTCATTCATTCATTCACTACTGTGAACCCCACCATTTCTGGGGACCTGCTTTCTAGCCTCCTCCACGGTGGCTGGGGGCACCTTGGCTGCCTTCTCTGGTGGTTGGAGGTTGAAGAGAAGTCAAAGGTCCATGTCCACATCCCCTGCATGGCTACTTCTTAACCCAGAAATGGTTACTGCCCTCCCGATGGGGAAAAGGAGCCGCTTAAGCTGCTGGAGAGGCCAGGCACGCCCTCAAAGGAATGTTTACACAGCACTCTGACTAGTTTCAGAAACAGCCCAGGTCAGCGCAGGGATCTGCCCAAACACATTGGTGAATTTGTGTGACGGGGTTGGAACTCAGTGGCCGTATCCTACATCCCAGCCCTCCGTGGGTCATGTGGGAAGGGATGGTCTATCCAGGGCCATAGCATGCAGACAGGACAGCCCCCTAGACCTCAGCAGCGGGGCTGACCCAGCCTCCTGCCATACGACCTCATAGGTCCTCATCTGGAACCTGGACATGGGCGAGCCAGTGAAGATGATCGACTGCCACACAGATGTGGTTCTCTGCTTGTCCTTCAACACGGACGGCAGCCTGCTCACCACCACGTGCAAGGACAAGAGGCTGCGTGTGATCGAGCCCCGCTCTGGCCGAGTACTGCAGGTGGAGCCCATGGTTTTTGATGAGAGGGGAAGGTGTTGGGGCCGTGCCTGTCCCCTTCTCCCAGGCATCTGCATTTGTTCCCTGGGACTGCTGTCACAAATTACCACAAACTGGGTGCCTTAAAACAACAGAAATGGAGTCTCTGACAGTTCTGGTGGCTCCAAGTCCAAGATCAGGAGCTAGGCTGTTACCGAGGCCGCAGCGAGGACCCATTCCTTGCCTTGCCCAGCTTCTGGTTGCTGCCAGTTTTGTTGGCTTATAGCCACATCAAGACTGTGTCTTCACATAGTCAGTGTGAAGTCCCTTTGTCCCTCTCCTATGTGACATTTGTCATGGTATAAAGATTCACCTGGAGTTTTGGAAGTAGCTTATCAGAAGGATAATCCAGGTGAAGTCCTCACTTCAAGATCTTTAACTTAGCTACATCTACCGAGAGACGTCTTCTGCAAAAAAGGAAGCATTCACAGATTCTAGGGGTTGGGACATGAATGCATCTCTTTAGGGGGCCACTACCCAAGTGTCTAGGGCCTTGGCTCACCCTGCTCTCTCTGTCCCTGCCAGGAGGCGAACTGCAAAAACCACAGAGTCAACAGAGTGGTATTCTTGGGGAACATGAAGCGGCTCCTCACCACTGGGGTTTCCAGGTGGAACACAAGACAAATCGCCCTCTGGGACCAGGTCAGCTGAGGGTGGTGGGCACGCATTCTCAAAGGAAGGGAGCAGGTTACCTAGATGTGAGCTCATGGGTCCTCTGGTTCCTGTTGTTGTGAAGTGTCTCTGAGTCACTTACTAGATGGGGCAAAAGTGGGATGAGGCTTGGCATCCGGGCTAGACTGGGCCTCCATTGCCCCAGAACCTCACATTCAGGTGTGTGGGAAAGAGTCACGAGGCTGGAGGATTGGGGCAGAGGATAGCTCCTCGGAAGGACCAAAGTCCTGTCTATCCTTGTGTGGAGAGCAGAGAAGCCAAGGGACACCCTGGCTGGGGCTTGGAGATGACCACAGATACATCCTGAAAAGGCAAGCATTTCTACAAGCACATAAGCATGTGCTAAGATTCTGCCCTGGAGTGAGACATGGGGCCCACTGGGCTTGGGGGTCCCCATGACACTCCTTACCATGGTTCCCAGAACCCACAGGGCCTCCTGGTCAGCATTTTCACCCTGGGAGTAGCTGCAGACCCCGGTGTTCATCTGTGCCCATGCTTAAAGCCTGGTTGCACTCCCAGCTAAGTGGTCACCAGTGTCCAGTCTCCTCCCTGTCATTTCCACACCCACCACCTCACTCAGAGCAGAGGGGCCAGCCAGTGTCAGGGTTGGTTGTCAGCCACTGGTGTAGGAAGAGAACACTCAAGTCCCTGTGTCCCCATCAGTTAAACAAGGGAAGTGGACAAGAGGCATTTGTTAAGATCTTTGCAGCAATGGACTGCTGTGTTCTGGAAAGAGCCGCAGAGGGCACAGAGGAACAAAACAGAAACGCAGTAAAGGAGGGAGGGTCCGAAGCCCAGGATCTGCCAGCTGGGCTTTGGCTAAGGAAGCATCTCTGGCTTTCCATGGAGGTCATTTCTTCTGAAGGTCGGGAGTCTGGGCTTCGCCACACAAGCTCCTGACACCACCAGTTGGGCTTCCTCTGCAGAGATGAGGCTGGGACACAGAAGGGATTCAGGGGTGGTGCTCAGCCTCACCTGCAGATGTTAGAGTCAAGGCTGAGGCCCAGAGAGATCAAGGGCGAGTAATGGGTGTGGGAAGGAGGGCTGAGAACAAGTCCCCTGCCTACCACCTGCAGAGCCCTTCCCCCTGCCCTGGGCTGCTTTTGACAGCAAGGAATTCTGCCTTGCCCCCACCCATCTGCGGTGTGTCTGAATACAAAGGCAACTCAGCTTTTTTTTTTTTTTAGGGGTTTTGCTGGGATTGGGAAGATGAGGTCTCATCAGCCTAGTCATGGGCTAATGCCCCCTCCCTGCCCCATCTCTGCCCACAGGAGGACCTGTCCATGCCCCTGATCGAGGAGGAAATCGATGGGCTCTCTGGTCTCCTGTTCCCCTTCTATGATGCCGACACACACATGCTCTACTTAGCTGGAAAGGTAGTGAGGAGAAAGGGGGCTAGAGCCACCTATGGGACATCCTTGACCCCACTGTGCCCATCTCTTGCCTCCTCCCCACTCAGGTGTCCTCCACCTGACCCAACCATCCCTGAACACCGACCTCCCCTTATCCTCAAGTCCTGGTGTGGTGCTGTAGGATAAACACTGGACTGCTAACCACAGGATCAGCAGTTCAAACTCATCAGTCACTACCTAGAACCCCTATACAGGGCTGCTATGAGTTGGAACTGACTTGATGGCACTTAACAACAACTCATATCCTATACTTCTTCTCACTGAGATGGCACTGACTGAGAAGTCCTGAAGAAGTGAGTCTTTGGAGTCGGTTTTCCATTGGAATAAGGATCCAGAGTTGAAAGTACAGTGACTAATGATGGAGCCTGAAGACCTACCAGGAGATCTTTGGTGAAGATGGGCTGCTTTGTCAGAGAGCTGTTTACACACACAAACATAACATCCCACTTCAACAATTCCCCTGTAGCAGGTCCATCTGGGCTTTGTCAAAAGTGCCTAGGCACAGCAGGGCGCTCTTCTGCATACCCCTGGTATTAGGGCCTGCTCAGCCCTCCGGCCCACTATAGTCCTCACCCCTCTCTCTCCTTGCCTCCAGGGGGATGGGAACATCCGATACTACGAGATCAGCACTGAGAAGCCTTACCTGAGTTACCTCATGGAGTTCCGCTCCCCAGCCCCACAGAAAGGCCTAGGTAAGAGGGGTCCAGAGTCTGTCAGCTCCTTCCACTGACCACCCAAGGTGGCATTATCTGGGACCCCAACCCTCACCATGGGTAGTGGCATGGAATAGGAGTCTCAGGTCTTACCTGCCTTCTAGGGTCTGCTGTGCCTCTCCTCAGCTGAGTAAACTCAGGCAAGTAGCTTCATCCTGCTGAACCTCAATCTCCTCATCTGTCAAATGGGAGAATCAAACCTGCCTAAACCCCTCACCAATGTAGAGTGAAGCTCAGCAAGTCAAGTGTATTGTGAGCTGGGCAGTTGGTCCAAACCCATTGTTTTCTTAATCCCAGCACACTGGTGTCGGAGGAGGGAGAAGAATGCAGATTCTCAATTCCCCTACCCAGCCTCTTCCTACTACACCAGACTTCCTGGTGCTAAGGAACAGGGGGGGGTGGGGGAGTGGGGGAGGCTGGACCGGAAGAGACCATCCCCTACCCACCCTCCAGGTGCCCTACTTACTCTACTGCTTCTCCTCCCCCAGAGAGGCAGTGGTGTGAACATTCTGTGTGACCTCTGGGCACCCAGCAAGCCCCAGAGTGCTTGTTACCTTAGTGTCCTGGTCAAGAGCCTGGACTCTAGAGCCAGTCTGCCTAGGCTTCACTCCCAGCTCTACCACATGCCAGCTGTATGACCTTAGACAAGTTACTTCCCCTCTCTGTTTCCTGGCCTGTTACATGGAGATAAGAGTAGTACTCACCTCACAAGTTATGAAACTTGTAAAGTGTTTAGAAAAGTGCCTGGGATATTTGTTGTTGTTGTTAAGTGCCATTGAGTCAGTTTGGTCTCTCAGCAAGCCTGTATAGGGTTTCCGAGGAGCTGCTGGTGTGTTTGAACTGCCCAACATAGTAAGTGTTTATTGCACTACTGAAGTGTCTACTACAGGTAACCAATTCATTAGTAAATTAATCAATTCATTAGTAAAGTAATCGATTCATTGTAAATTAATCCATTCGTTAGTTAAAGCCATTGATTCCTTAGTAAATTAATCCGTTCATCAGCAATTTAATCAATTCATTAGTGAAAATGCAGGTGTTTTAGAAGGGGATTTCTAAGGCTAAGTCACAGTTTCTGTTGGTGAGTGTGGCTTCTGGAACGGAGGTCCATACCCTGTCCTGGAAACCCTATCCCCAAGTCTCCTTCTTGCCCCCACCCCGAAATCTACAGATCTTCACTGTTTTCCTTGCCCATGGAACTGTAGGATAAGCACTGGACCGCAAGGTCAGTTTGAACTGCAGGATAGGCTGTTCGAACTCACCAGTCCCTCCTCAGAAACCCTATAGAGGATCGAAATGGGTCAAAACAAGGAGCTCTGGTAGCATAGTGGTTACTAATCGGGCTGCGAACTGCAAGGTCAGCAGTTCGAAACTACCAGCTGTTCCATGGGAGAAAGATGAGGCTTTCTGCTCCCGTAAAGATTTACAGCCTC